TGGTTCTCAACGAAAATAATTTTATGGTTGGGGGTGGGGGTGGGGGTGGGGGCCACCACCACATGAGGAACTGTATTAAAGGGCCGTGGCATTAGGAAGGTTGAGAACCACTGCTCCATAGGTTCTGAGTCGGAACTGACTTGATGGCAGGCAGTATGTGAGTGAGTGACCTCGCAGGATGATGGTGCGTTATTCCATACTTACGTGCTCAGTTGCTCATCAAAAGGCTGGCGGTTCGAATCCACCCAGAAGCAGCACAGAAGAAAGGCGTGGCAATCTACTTCCAAAAGTTCACAGTTGTTGAAACCGGTAGGGATCTCAGTTTCCAGGAGGAATCAGAATTGAGGCAGCAGCTACTAGTTTGGTTTTGTTTGGTGTTTGGGTTTTTGTGGTTGTTGTTGTTTGCTTTTTGAATGATCACAAAAGAAGAAAGATGAAGCCAACAAGGAAGATGGAAATAGAATACTGTCTCAGGGTGTCAAAAGATGGGACCAGACAGCACACATTGTACCTCTACTTTTATAAGGAAGGAGGCGCTGGAGGAAAGGAATAAAAGCTAATTGTTCAAGGAAAGCTTTACGGATGTAGGGATGCCACTGCTTCATCCCCGACCTTCCAGTCAGCAGCCGAGCCATTGCCACACCACACACGGCCACCAAGCTAACGCCACCTGACAGGACAGGGCAAAACTGCTTGAAAAACGGCACTGCAAGTATTACACCCATTCACTCAGAGCCATTTGAATGGCCCAAGTTGAAAATGTAGATTCTAAAGATACCCCAATGTTTGAATTAAACAACTCAGCCCCTCCGAATTGAGAAACGATAAAACCAACAACTCAAAGAAGGTTAATTCTCATATTCTCTTGCTGAAACCTGAAGCCTGTTACGGAAGCCAGACCTCGAATATTTCCACTAACAAATCCTGCCCATGCAAGTTACAGCCCGGACAAGTTTACACCAAGCTCCCAGAAACTGCCCAGATGCTAGATCTGGGGAGACAGGTTCTTAATTTCAAATGCATGTGTTTGGGCTACAACTGAACGGACTCCAGCTAATGCAAGGAGGCGCCTCCCAACACCTTACCATCAACGGATAACCAGAACTGTTTTTAAACGGCGCTGTTTCATGTTATAAAAAAATGAGCACGGGCAAATTCTAGCCTTGACCAGGTCTCTCCTCAGTGAGATGAATAATGTCCACCCAAAATGGTCTCAGGGACCCTTTGCTGGACGGTCATAGCAAACACTGCTTCTAGGATTTACGTAAATGTCAAGTTTAGGTCCATGCCCTGAAGCTAACTCCACAAAGACTTTAACTTTAGATGAACAGAACAGGCAAAGGAAAAAAAAAATCTTTTCTCTCTTTTGTGTCCTCTCCTCTCCCGGTTTTTCATCTCATATAGCATTTTTAAAAGGTTGATCTTTATCAAAGCTAAATAAAACAGAACGATGGTGCCAGTCACTTTGCCTTCTGATAAACTCGCTGTACACACTCAAGTATAAGCCAAGGCACCTAATTTTACCACAAAAAACTGGGGGGAGGGGGGGGCTTTTTCAGTATAAAAAATGTGCTGAAAAAACTCGGCTGATTCACGAGTATATAAGGTAAGTATGCAGATACACAGAAGCACATTTCGTTGCAGGAGAAA